GCTGTTTTCAGGCTGGCCACAGCCCCTTCAGGGTGGGGGTCCCCACTGGGGTGCCTGGCCAGCCTGGGTGAGGGGCTGATGGCCATTTTCAGGCTGGCCATGGCACCGGCCTGGAAGCAGATATCTGGGATTTATTTATCTTCTATAATTGAAACTTTGTAGCCTTGAGCGGAGCTCAGGCCCAGCCAGGGAAGGCAGGAAGCTTGGCTTCCTCCATTGCCAGGGGCAACCTAAGCCTCCTGCTTGCTCCAGCTCCGTGGCCGCCGCCATCTTAGTTGGGTTAATTTGCATATTTGCTCCTGATTGGCTGGTGAGCGTGGCTTGTGGGGGTAGCGGAGTTACGGTCAATTTGCATGTTTCTCTTTTATTAGATTAGATGGGTGTGTTCCATGGACTGTGAGTGGGTTCAATATGCCTTGCCTCAAGTTGCATTCAAACCAATTCTTATGCAGCTAGGGGCCATTGATCAACCCAGACGGGTATCCGCAAGCCAGGTAATTTTAGCTGCTGTACGCTGGGTTGGAGAGACAATCAAGACCCCTATTGAAAATTCTGGTAATCTAATCCATGCCTCCCCTTTTGAGTGGACATTGGGAGAGATAAATGCTTCCCTTGCTGATTCTTTCCTAGCCCTGTTAGGGGGTGAAATCCTTGAATAAGCATTTAAGATGTCACAATGGAACTGGGACTTGTTATTAAAACTCCCATCTGCTCTAGTATAACTTGACCCCATAGGTTAACAGGCAAATGTTGCAATACATAAGGCTAAAAATAGCCTGTATTTCTGTCTGGATCTTCCCATTGAAGGAGTTGAGCACTCTGCAAAGGCTGAGTAACATGTTCTACTCCTTGCAATTCAGAAGCCGTGGGGTTTAAAGCCCAGGCCTGCAGCCAATGTCTGGACGCAGTGACTGACACATCAGCTCCAGTATCTATAACCCCTTTAAAAGATTTCCCATTAACCCTTAGTTCTAACTCAGGCCAGCCCTGCTTAACTAATCTTGCCCAGTATACCGCTTCGCTGGACCCAAAGCCCTCTGTACCACGGGGGTGACCGGTTGAGGGCCGCCCTTCTGGGTAGTAGGGCAGAAGGAGAATTTGTGCTATTTCTGTTTCTGGTAAGACCTGAACTATAGTATTAATTGTTTGTGCCATTACTTTAATTTCTCCAGTATAGTCCTGATCTATCACCCCGGGCAGACTTGAAACCCTTTCAATGTTAAACTGCTCCTCCCTAAAATTAGTCCCATGACGCCTGCGGGAAGGGGACCATACACTCTGGTGGCAATGGCCTGAGGCCCCATCTCTGGGGTTAGTACACATCGGGAGGTGGGACTGAGGTCCAATCCTGCGCTTCCCGGGGTGGCACGGTAGAGGTTTCGAACGTTGGTTTTGGGACCGAGCCGGCTGTAGTGGGGTTAAGGATAAGGCCCCTACTGTTTGGTGGGGCCGGGGCTGGCCCCGCTTGAAGTTTCCCTGCCTAGCGGGTATTGGATTACCATCAGCATCAGTCTTGGTGTGGCATTTATTTACCCAATGCTTTCCTCTCCTGCATCTTGGACATAGTCTGGACTGCTTGTTTCCACTCCCTGTAGCCCTTTGACTTCTATTTCTAGTATTACAGTCTTTAGCAAAATGCCCTAGTTTGCCAGTTAAAGCATCCCCCTTTCCTTTTCTGCTGACCAGCGAACAACATCTCCTTTAATGTGGCAGCTAATACTGCTCCTTGAACATAGGCTGGTCCAATGTCAGCACACAGATGAAATCATGTCCAGGACCATTCTTCCTGTAGGGACGTAAAGCCTCTTGACACACTCCATTTGCATTTTCAACAGCTAATTGTTTCACGAGTATCATTCCAGCCTCAGGGTCAGCCACAACCCTGCCTACGGCTTAAACAAATGAGCCACAAAATCCTGATATGGCTCCTCAGGGCCTTGCCTAATTTTGCTTATGTCTAAAGACTTTTCCCCTTTTGTTGGCACTTGCCTCCAGGTTTTGGTGACATGTATTTATCTGCTGATAAGCTCGCATGGGGTATACTAACTGAGCCTGCAAAGCCCCATGAGGTCCGGTGCCCATGAGCATATAAATTGCAATGGGTACCCCATGAGCGTGGATTCTGTTAGCCTGCTCTGCACTAAGCTCTGCCCAATTAGATTTCCATAATAAGTAATCTCCAGGTGAGAGACAAGCCTTCGCGACAGTATTCCAGTCACTAGGAGCCATAGCTTCCTCAGATACTGTATCTAGTAACCGCAGCACAAAGGGGGAGGTTGGTCCATACATAGGACAAGAAGTCCTCAACTCCTTCAAAGTCTTAAAAGGTATAGACTGATGGCCACGGAGCATCTGACCTGGATTCTGAGGATCAGGCTTCTCAAATACAGGATATAAACTGAATCCTGAAATATCTTCCCCAGCCTGCCTGGCCTCATACAGAGTCTGCTGGAGTAGAGACAAAGGCACCATTCTTTTTCTGCTTGTTTAGGGGGTAAAAGGAGAGGCTTATGAGCAACAGTGAGCTCCCCAAATGATTGCACCAGACCCCATCATCCCAAACCTGCCGGGGCTGTTCCCTTGCTTCATCCAATCCTCGTTCATATTTGGGAGGAAGCGCATCGTCCGGAGGGCTCTCTCCCACAGGAGTATAGCCCCAGGGACTGGAGGAGGCAGCGGAGGCACCGATGGTACAGGTGGAGTTGGAAGCCTCTGGTAGCCTTCCCCCATCTGTCTTGATTCCCCTGCCATATTCATCCACTCCCTTTCTGGAGTGGGCTCTAGGCAGTCCCCAGTTAGGGACCACAGACTGAAAGCAGAGGCAGCCATTTCCTCTGGACCTTCAGCTATATAATGATCTCTAAGTTGTTTTCCTACCTTCTCCCATGCCTCTATATTTACCTTTCCTTCCTCAGAAAATCATGGGCAGGTTTTACTTATAAAATCCAACAAATCGAAGAGCTGTTGATATCTCACAGAACAGCCCCGTGCTTGGAGCATAGCCTTAAGCATGGATACATATAAATTCTTTTCCTGCGATCCTGAATTTCCCATGTTTTACACCTAGTTATTACTGAACTTCGCTCCTTACCTTCTTTTTTGTTTTCCGCACATGCTTCACTAGAGCGTCCTTTCACCTGACAACTGCAGTTCCCCCGAACTCAGCCCCGTGTTGGGCGCCACATGTTCCGTGCCAGCTCAGCCAAGGGTTCGAAAGCCTGAGTGAGGGCAGCGAAAGATGGAGAAATGACAGACAAAGACAATAAGCTGGCTCTAGGTGGATCTTCCTGTGTCTGGCTGAGGCCACAGAGAGAGATCCAGAGGCAAGCTGAGCCTTTATTTTATAGCCAGAGGTAAACAAGGTAGTGGTCACCATAGTTACAATGTTCTTGTG